TGAAGGACCTCGACTGGCAAGTTCTGCCGCATCCACCGTATTCACCGGACGTTGCACCATCGGACTACTACCTATTCAGGTCGCTGGACAACTTCATGTGCAAGAAGCAGTTCCCGAACGAAGGTGCACTCAAAAACGCACTTGATGGTTTCTTTGGCTCACGGGATGCGGTGTTTTAGGAGAGAGGAATCGATTCTCTTAAGGAAAGATGGGAAAAAGTTATAGATTGTGAGGGAGATTATTTTGATTGATAATGTTTGTTGCATGAAAAGTTACAGGGGGTCAAAGATATGAGTCGAAAAGTTCCGGATACTTTTTCCCAGACCTAATAAATTGGACTTCATTGATAAACTTGTCGATGAGAGGAAACTCAGCTCAAGGAGACTCCTGGAAATTCTTGCGCCGTGCATGGAGAAAGGACAGTTCACCTTGTGGCATTACTCCAGGGGTATCCTTCTTGTATAAACTCACATCACCCTTGGCGATGAGGAGCATAACACAAATTGGGAAACTGTGACGGGTGATCCTTTTAGGGACCAAAAGGGACATTCATTATAGCACTAACTTCAATATTCTAACTTCCTGGGGAAACGGTGCCGTTTCCCCTGAGTAGGCTTATAGATACAGATAAAAAGAGACGAATTAAACATTTCTATTTTGTGTACGATGACTATTCATGTGCATGCAAGTTTCACCCCTTGAAAATTTCTAGGGTATATCCAGCAGATGTCCTCAAAGCATTGCATTGGGATATCCGTTGGATATTTCCTGCGGACATCCAGCAGATCTCCGTACATCCGTATCCAACGGACGCTCGTAGGCATTCCTTGCTACCTGGGGTACGATGAAAACCTCACTAGAACTGTGATTACTAACTCTGTTATAGGTCACCATGATTACTGCCAGGTGCAGTTGCAACACTAGTGTTAGCTCCAATTTCCTCAATCAAAGTATGTGCTTTTTTCACATTCTGTTTTATATAGTTCTATTACATTTTTTTTCTCAGGTAGATATCCTAGTGAACAACGCAGGACTTTCGGCATCCCAGACGGTGTTTGAATCTACATGGGAAATCGTTAGGAGATTGTTTGAAGTGAACTTCTTCGGTAATATTGGGCTTGCCAAGGCCTTATTGCCCCATTTCAGGCAGAGGAAAGCAGGACATATCGTCGTGCCATCCAGTGTTCTTGCCATTGTCTCCACCCCCACTTCCTCCGCCTATTGCGCCTCCAAACAGGCCATTTGGGTAAGTATGAGGGAACATCATCGTGCTTCCAGCATGCAAAGGCGATTCTCTTTCGAGTCGAGTGACTTTCGAGCAACTTTAATTTCCCTTTCACAAAGCGAGTTGAGATTCCCCGGCCGGTCAACACTATTCCATTGTTGTCTTTTTTCGCCCTTAAGGGAACCGTGCCCCAGTTTCTTGGATTGGCTTTGTATGGAACCTCCACTTACTAAAGCTCCAATTTCCAGGCCAGGTCTTTGTAGAACTATCATCTTGCATCGGTTGAACTGTTGTATCCACATGTGGAGTATCATGTTGGCTTTCCCCAGTTCCTTGGATAAACTGAAAATGTGTCTTCGCATATGTTCTAATGATGAAATGACGAGAGATGAAAATCACAGAGCAAAATCTTCGGCATTTAATTCAAACTTGATTTTTTTCACTTTCAATGTGATGCCTGCCTCTGATAGCACAGAAAATGAAGACATGGCTCAATATTTTATGTGACCCCACGCGGGCCGTTTTTAATGATCAAAAAGGAGTTGAACTTGCATTTTTAAATGTTATATGCCAAGAATAATAGAAGGTAGACATGCAAATGCGTTGGCCAAGACATATCATACGTTACGACAACAGCATTGACCTTGGCATTCCTCCTCGATGTGCATTCTCTTGATTAAGTTGGATTCCTGGAATGCGTAATATCAGTCAGTTTTGATCAAAATTGATTCATGTTGTAAATTTCAGGTGCACAAATTTAATTTATCTCATAAGCTGTAGTCAGTAGTGACAAAACGGATTTGGAGAAGAGGTTTCCTGCCCACTCCATAAAGTGTTCCTCCAATAGAGGAAGAGGAAGTAGAGTATAATATTATTCTGGTCTTCTTGCCCCTTTTGGTGACAGACCATTACAAAAAGTGCCCCTCCCCGACAAACTTATCGGTCTTTTACGCTACTCCTGTTTGCCGCACACAGGTTGAAAATCGTTGCCCTACGGAATTGGATCTGTTCGTAATGACTAGATGAGTTAAAGTGAGAAGATAAACACGATCAAGCGCTCTGGCGAAATACATTTCTTAATCCTTTTATTGCCATTGACTCTGGCACTTTTAAACGAAATTCCAAGCGTCGATTTAATCGACTCTGGCGCTACAAGGACTAATCAGAGCGAGTGAGGTTCATGGCTGTGTTGGCTTCATACGGAATGACTCATAGGAAAGCCTTTTTGTGTTCATTCAAAAAAGTCTTGAAGTGGAATAAGAAATGGCGTGCTTTGTTTCTAGCGCATCTTCTGACATTGCGTGACACACAGCTCAGCATAATTTCAAGTATAGTGCTGGAAAAACGTAAAACCATGTGCGTCATTTTGTGAGCATGTTTCCATTAGATGATAAATTATATTCATTAAATTATATTCATTCACCCTCGCTGGTATTACGGTTCCCGATGATTTTCTGAAAATATCAATGACTTCAAGTTGATTCAATCGGTTGAAAATTGTCTTTTTTGACCTCTTTGCCTTCAAAATAAAATTTTTAGAAGGATTTCCTTCCAAGTTCTTTCAACGTACTTTTATTAGTAAAAGACCATTGGTGAAAGACCATATCGATCAGCCAATGTGTTCCTACATATTATTTTTATCCTTTGCAGCTTCCTTCAGCAGTTGCTTTGCTTTACTTTTTTTTCAAGAAAGTTATTTTGCTATATCTCAAAAGCAATTACGGCATCAACTGAGAATTTATTGCAAAATATACGCGATGTCTGGTTCCGAATCTTCACGATAAGGAAAATTAAGGAGAAATCTCTATTCTTTCTTCCGTAGGGATATTACGACTCCCTCCGAGTGGAGGAGGACAGGCACGGGATGAAGGTCACCATATTATTTCCAGGTGGAGTGAAAACGAACATATTTTCCAGCCCTCTCGGCGCAAAAAAATGGCTCCAGGTCGATAAGGTGAGCCATTAGATCTCGTACGAAGGAAAAACATAGAATGTCGCAGGAAGTATGAATTTCCTTTTTTATTTCCATTTCATTGCTGTTTTACGTACACAGTTGATATAGGCATATCGTGGAAGAGAATTCCTTATTATGTTTGTGGCTAAAGTCGTGGCCGAGTGACGTCGGCCGAAAGATACTGAGCCTGTCTTTTAGCACGTGGCTGTGAAAAATAGCTTCGAAAGAAAATGTTGTCTACCGCAGAGTGCCGCAACGTTATGCATGCTTGCTGAAATTAACAGTACTCCCGGAACTCGGTAACGTGACGGACGCTGCGCTTCTGTATAGCGAATTTAGGTAAAAAATTATTTTCCCCTTCAATAAATTAATTTGGGTCGTCATAGAGGGTTAAAAAGAGGCTGAACATCTACCACCCAAATCACGAACCAGAGTTGGTAGCACTTGTCATTACGTTTGAGAAGTCACGTGAACATTTTTTCGTTGTGGTACATTTCAAACCACTACCTAGTTTTGCTCAGGCTTTTCAAACTCAGGCCTTCTTTTGCCGCGGATGCATACAATTCTGGCTGTAAGTATCTATATATCCTCACCACAATCCGACTACATTCCACATCTAAAGGAATTCTGAGATAGTGGAATACAGATAATTCACTTACAGGTGGAATGATCCACCTGTAAATTGTGTAACGAAGCAAACACGTGGCTGTGAAAAGGGAACTAAATAAACTTGATCCTAATTTAAGAATAATGATGTCAAAAGAATTTGAAATTATTAGAATAAAAGAAATTCATAACCAAAATGTGGTTGTACGAACAAAGTTGGCTTCAGTCGTGCACACGCTGGTGACATTATAGGCCTAAATCCCCATAGAATTTCCCGTTTACATGTTATTAAAGAATTTATTATGTGCTAGTTCCTAACAAACCGAAACAATAAGTAACATTGATTACTTTTCTTTTAAACGTCTTCAGATCTTATCCCATATTTTGAACCATTATTCATGTTAAACATATATTCTCTATTATTTCATATTACTGATCATGTCTTTGGAAATATTTTTCATACTTTTTTCATCCTTTCTTCGCGTGGATTACCTGGCTAAAATACCAACCTCATTCTTCCATTAATTTTAAATTTAGAATCATGAAATTTGGAGAAAAAAAAAAGAGGATAATGGTGGGGTCGTACATGAGTACATCTTTCGAATGGCTTCCCGGAATGCTTTTCCGCTGCTCTGCGTGGCTGAAGAAACATTCCGAAGTAACTATGACAATGCACTATGAAAAAAAAAAAAACTGGTGGAAGACGGAGGAGACGAGGTCTTCACCTTCCTCATTGCCGATATCACTATTCCATCATTACGTCCCAGTTCTCCATGTCCATAATAAAAAGGGACTGGAACGTCATGTCTCATTGCATAGTCTTAAGATTCTTTTCCATGTTTCCTTTCCAGTTTCCTTTGAAGGCGTTCATGATGGATGTGACGACTTTCGTGGATTGGACACTGATTGCTATAGCCAACCAAAATTCAACGGCCTGCATCGCCAGAAACTGGATCATCTTCCAGTTCTGCTATCATTTCCCGAATCTCACCAGATGGTAAACCCTTAACATCTCTTCTTTCTGTTATTCGTCTCGGACTTCAACTATGTTTTCTAGTCTCACAAGGCTGCGATGCTTCTTTTGCATTCTCATTACGCATTCATTTTTATTTTTCCCCGACACGCTCTTTGTGGTTGCCTATGTTTTTTTTTCCTTCTCAATTGTCCCTTCAGATACTCATCGTCTGATTTAAGGCGTACTGACCTGAAAAGATGAAGAGGGTAAAAAAAAACTCAGTTGGAGCATGGGACAGTAGGGCAAAACTATCCTTAATAACCCATTTCGTCCCATCGCCCTACTTACAGGTTGGCAACTTTGGAAGAAGAAAAAAATTTTCTGCGATGAATATTAAAAATTTCTAAAATGAAAGTCATTGCCGCTAAGCAGAACTCTTCCTTATTCTACCATTTTTTTTAAAATCGATTGCGGACATTCAATAATCCAAGTCAATTAAACCCAATAAAGGTTTTTAGATATTCCACAGAAAAAAGTTGGGACTATATGAGTTAATACGAGAATGGCCGAACAAGTGAAGAGACTTTCACGAAAATCATATTCCTTCCACGGATGCGAGTGCAAATCACTCCAGTCTGGTTAAAATCTCCTTCTTTGTACATTAATTTCTTAATTATGCATTTACGAACTCCTATGGTACATGATCATGTGGTAAATGATGTGGTCATTTGTCCTTTCAGGTTCATGATAACAACAAGTGGGTCATTCGTGAAGGGTTTTTTCAAGAGAAATTGAACTTTTAGTGCACCTTTTCCTGCCCTATTTATATTTTGTTCATGTTTCAAATCTACGCTGGTCATTGCTTATTCCTGGTTGAATCCTGAAGAGGTGGCCAGCGACATCGATGGATGGTAATCGATAACTAAGCTTTCGAGTATAGCCGTGAGGTGTCAGTCTGTGCTTTTTCCCCCATTCCATTTGTATTCCTTGGAAACGCGTCATTCGCGTCGTCTGCTCACCCATGAGTGTTCAATCGTGCCATCATCGGAAACAAGATCTCTCTCGCGAACGTTCTCAATAGAGGAAAGCTGTTGTCATTTGACAATAGTCTTCTAACGCCTTCAATTGGACATAAAAAATGAACAGAAGATCCTTATGCAGTCTTCCAGGATTTCTTTCAGAATTGAGGAAGGCATCAATTGGAGCTCTACTTCTAATGGGACAAGTGAGGGATATTCCCCATTGCAATGAGCCTGAAATGAAGTGAGGGCTTCACACATGTGTCGGATTTTGAGGCTTTTCCCTCCTCCCATGGCCTGGGTGCCTAATGGCTTTATGACTCTCATCCTGTGGGCTCTCTTTTTCTCCCCCACCATTGCCACTCCAATTGCTTCCAAACCATCTGCAGTGGTTGTGGCTCCTGGCATATCCATACGAAAAGAATCGCTACATTTTGACTGACTTGGAGGAAAATAGAACGAGTCCGTGCATTCAAATATTATCTATTATGAGGGTGTCATAAATCGCAATTTCGTTCTCTTTTCAGCACTTGATTGTGAACTGGACTTTGCAATATGCATATTCAAAATTGAGTTACGTGTGCAAGTGACAGTTCTTAGACCGTTTTATTGTGCTCGTCAAATCCCAATGTTATAAAAATTTCAATGTGAATCCATTGCATGCATCTCATTTCAATACCGGACCTTTTCCCTCAACATTATTAATAATTACTTGAAATACTTGATTATTACCAGAGTGTTTTCTTCGAGCGGATGACTACCAGCGAAGACTTTCAACTCTTACCGTGTATGCGTTACATGCGGTTCTACCCGGAAAGCATTTGTTGAGTCTCAGTTGTTTCCTCGTGTTCACGCGCCCAAAGCAGAATTTTTTAAATAAAAAATATGCTGCACGATATCCGGTCTCTTTGGGCAGCATTCTCATTTTAGTTTAACCCTTAAACAACCGTTTTGAGTCCAATGGACACCGAAATAAAAAAAATTTAGCCATTGTATAGGCTGCACCGTGAACTTGAAAAGCCTGATACTCCGTGTACTTTCATGAAGACACGTGATAGATATGAGGCAAAGTACTTCGAAGATATATTTTTGGAAGGAAGAGATGAAACAAAGTGTTAAACACATGACCATCCGGGTTCTGATAGTTACAGAGTTAAAGCAGGATATTGCTGAACCTTCAATATTAGCATCGAGTCACGAGATAGACTCCATGTTTGATGAAAACCTATTCTATACCAAAGTGGAGAGCATGACCCTTTATTTGCAACATCGTTAGGCCTTTGAAGGCTGCTTGAGAGCTGGCTTCTCCATGCAGTGGGGTAAGACCTGTGGCATTTCTAATGTTTACCTTCAGTTTTCTTCCCGGTTTCTTATTGGTTACCCTTGAAGGTCTCTGCCCAGTGTCACTGGGTCCCAAATGGTCGAATCCAGGGGGTTGGCAGCTTGTGGAATCCTCGAGAAAGAGATGCAGATGTCCCCTTCGACAAGACACATGTTTCGGCTGACCTTGGAGGAAAATAAAGACGACTGAGACACATATGCATGCATGTATTTGGGGCCGAAGGAAAAACCCCTTTTCTCTCTCGTCGGAGAAACTGATCCCGGTGTCCGACGATGGACGTGAGGAGGAATATTTATGACCTCCGTTCTAAACATTCCTCCACCCATATGTAATGACTGAGCCCCTTGGCTCTTCAGATTCCCGGGGATTTTCAGCTGCTTTCTTCTCAAAGATCTGGGTGGAAATGGAATGAAATGGATGGAGGAATGGAACACCTCGTCCATGCATCGCCCTTCTAAGGAAAACATTTCTTTATTTCATGCTATTTTTATTCTCTCGCTTCGGTATTTTTATTTTTACTATTTGTGTCCGGTAAAAAAAAAGAAGCCAAAAGTCTAGTAGCACTACGAGCGCTTACTTGACATAAGATAATTTGAATGCTTAGGATGCGTCAAATTTACGCATTTAGTTGACGGATAAAATGGAATGGAACCATTCAAATCTGCTGATGGAAGATGCTTCGGGAAGTTGAAGAAGTTTGCAATAAATCATGTTTCTTGATATACTGAAGTTCGAAAACTTATGGAACAACCCTGATAGATTTCTCTGAATATGATGCAGTCATCAGCACATGATATGATCTGGAAAACGCAACGAAGCGAAATTACTCTGGAAGCTCATGAAAGCTCCCCATAAACGAACGGCCTGCACGAAATAACAGTGGCACCCTGGGGACCAAGTTTCCCACCGAGGATCATGAAATAAGGGAAGGCCATCCGTGTATGGGGGGAAAGGGGAGGATAAACACTCGGTGAGACCAAACAACCCCGGTCTGGAGGGACAGACGCTGACACACTGGGAAAATTGACACACCCCCGGCCATAACATCAACTCATTTTCCCTTCGCTCTCTTGACAAAGATATAGGTTTTCGCACCAAGCGGACATGTGCAAACCCGATATAAGGCCACTCGCATTCCCAGGCCCTTTCCCCCGATTCTCTCGAATTTCTTTACCGTTCAAACAAATATAAAAATCGGCAAACAGGAAGAGTGCAGCTGAAAAGAAGCAAAAACAGAAGTTTTCGAAATCGAGCTCTCAAATGTTCAAGTGAAATCGGAGAATGAAAAGTCTAAAATTAACATCGTTCACCGAAACATTGAAAATGAAATATATGTGACCACAGAAGAAGTGAAACTAGAACAAATGCTGGAAGTTAAAGCAATCATGTAAAATAAAAAGTAAATGAACGTTTTGTACAGGAGGGTGAGAAAGTCGCCGGGCCATGTGGCAAGATTTTCCTTCCTCGCACTCCCTTAATTGATGTCGAGTCCTGATAGCTCCCAAATGGCCCAAGCAACACCATGCTTTTTCCGCATTTTCAAGGATTATGTACCTCTGAGTGTTTGAAAAGAAATGTTTGAAGCGGCTTTCCAAAACGCATGCAGTAGCATCTGCAACTTCCAATCTTACAATTACATATGTTTAAGAAGCTAGATGTCCTCAAAAGGAAAAACAATTAGGCTATTGCTAAATTGAATCCAGTATGACGGTATGATACGGAGTAGTCTTCTGCCATAACAGAAATATCCTTCTCTGGCGTGGAAACGCGCACGACTCGCGATTAATAGTTTTGCCGAAATCGTGAGTCGTGGGCGTTTCCACATCTTACTGTCAGATGTTCGTATAACGTAGATTTCTCCAAGTTCGATAGGTTTGTCCTTACGCATGAGCCTTCATTCACGGCTGCGTCCGACAGGGGAGTTCCTAAGTTCGATAGCCCATGTTCATCATTTCGACACAGCCTGCTGCTCATCTTGGCCAAAATAATTAGGACGAACCATCGCAAGAGAGAAAGGTAGGCGATGATTCTGCATCATGAAGCAGAAATCAAACGCAACGCAAATCTGCTGGAGTCATGTTTGGAAGAAATTAACAGGTTTGGAGAAAATTGAAGGAGGATTTTCCGAATCTGTATGCCCTGCTTTCTTTTTGCCAAAAGTAGGTAATAAAGAGGGGGGAAGGGAAAGAGAAATATGTTCTCCAGGAAATAATGCGTCTCTGCCTCCTTCAAGGTCATGTTGAGTTAATGCGAAGATCTGAAAGTCGCTGGCTCCTCTTACTTAACTAAGATTGGTAAAGGACATGAAACGGACTTCTGACTTTACAACGGGAATGTCCAAAACGTGAATACTTGGAATTGTGCACGAACGTCCCCGCTTGTGTTTTCGAACAGTAGATCACGTTTTATTCATGCGTCAGTGCCAAAAAAAGTAAAAGAGTCAAAGGCAAACGTTAGACATGCATTTAATCGGTGATAGGGCATTGTAACTGTTACATTTTGCCTTTCCTACAATGCATGGAATAAATCTTCCACTCGTGGCCATAAATTTCGAAAGTCATTTCTTCTTGCAACCCCTTGTGTGCAGGAATAAGAGCTTCGACTGTACCAAAATCAGGATCAGATAATACTTTTAAAGTAGTGAATCCTTTCACCAAGAACGATAAGGTATTCCTTACATCATTGGTTTCAATGCTCATCACAGCATCTGTGGATGCTTTCACGTTTCAGCTCCTTCTATTTCATGGTGCATATTGAAAGCAGAGGATGAACCTAAACTTTTACTTAGAAAATGAACTGCGCGTGAGCTTTATTTTAAATTGAAAAATATTACAAAGAAATTGCGGAAGTGCATCCTGCTAAAGTTTCGCATTTTCTTTGAGACGGTATCGAGATTAGATCTAACATGAGAGCCTGTTCGACACAGTCTTTCCTTGGCTGACCACTATGACCAACGGAGAGATATTCCAGAGAGGCACGATATACCCGCAAGCATCCATGACCGGAGAGCCGAGTCAACAAACGATTCGTAAAAGAGTTGTGTCGTGCGACAGCCCTATGGAGTAGACGAGAATAACGAAAATGCATCGATATTATTTATAACCAGAATGGAGTATCGAATTTTGGCTATTTGCGCTGATTAGTTTACCAAATTCTTGAGAAGAGCGAGAGAAAAGGACACAAAACGAGTTGGTTTCGAAACAGGTGTCAGAATAGGTTAGTGCTATGAGTATACAGATGGAGTTTCAATCGCTGGTAGGCTCCTTTCATGACTCGAGAGAACTGCAGGCACGCACTTCTTGAAAGGAATCTTACCGCAAGAATTTTAGACTTCCCGAAAGAGTAGCACTAGGCCAAGTCTATTTTGGCTGTCATAAGCGGCTGTAAATTTTATCAATGAACGACAGGTAAATTAGGCCTTAGAATCATATTTTCATGATAATGGATCGTTCAGATATTCTGTTTGAATTCTTGGTTTCTCATAGTGTCTGTTGAATCTTTTTGAAAATTTATCGAGTCTTCTCATTTTTGTCCAGTATGTTCCTTGCTTCAATAGGACGAAACTGAGCCGCGTCGCCATATCGAAATAGGGACGATGAATGGGAGTGTTGGGGATGCGCTCCTACTTTCGATAGTCTTATTATCTTGAATCTCTGAACAAAATAAATACTCTTTAATAATTCTCACAGAACGATACAGTAATCATCGGAGAGTCACACTGTTCCGGGAAGGCCACACGAGAAATCGAGAAAATCTTGGAGCACGAGCCGCCAAAGCTACTCGGACGGCAGCGAGAGTCATCCCATCGGGGCTCCACGACAACAGCTCGGGGAATGATCGGTACTTCCGAATGCCGGGTCTTCTTAGCTACGTGATTCACATATTGCCTCCTCTATTGAGCAGACGACACGACCAGACGTGGTTGACAATATTAGACTATGAGCGTCGAGGTACGGGAACCGAACGTACACCGTATCGAACTCAGGAGGGAAGGAGGAGGAGTGGTCGAACTTGTGTAATCTACGCCTGTAACTGAGGGAAATCGCTCTGTGGAAGGAGAGAATCCAAGAGGAGAGAAGAGCTTGGGTATTGGGTTTGATCAGTGAAGGAAAGGATTCCGCGATAACGAGGGGAAGGAGTCAGGATCGGCGAGGGAAATTGCGAGCAGACAGGAAATGGATATTAACGGTTCCCTTGTGTCTCTCCCAATTCTCTCTCTCTTTCACCTCATACCAATCACATCGGCTCCTCGACCTATCCCCCATTACGAGGCCATGATCAAGCATTCTGCAGAGCACAGTGGGAATGGTTTTCGATTATTTCATTTTCACATTCGGGAGATATTCGGACCTCATCTCGCAAACGTTCGTTTATTTCATTGTTATGATCTCAAAACTGGTTTATTCAGGACAGATTGCGAAATTGAAGGATGTATACTGAAATGCCCGCAAAATTTTGAAATATCCCGCACATATAGGGCATTTCTTTTCTGCATGAAAATTGCTCCGCAGAATCCCAAACTTAGTGCAGCAATCTACTGAATTCGCTCATTAACAGGTTATTTCTCCGCAGAATTTCTAATCGGTAGACATTATTTATTTTAAAAATATGTATATATATTTCTAAGTTGAATTATTTAAATTGCCCATCGAGTTTATGCGGGTCAGGTGCACCTCCACCGCCATCCTCCCCTCAATACACCCCACTTGAGACCCTCATTGAAACGAGCTTGTCTCCCCCATATAAAATACTGAATTGGGGGAGGCCCAATTCCTTTCCTTGGAAGGAAGAGGGAAAGAGACATCCCAGGGCCCCTTGCGTCGCATTGGTGCAACCACAATATTAGGAGTGTTCCACCCCCGTACCTGCCTCCTCTTTCTTTTTTGTAACGTCTTTACAACCAATCCGTCTCCACCACCGGGTTGTAAACCTGTCCAGCGGGGAAGACCCCTCAACGGCTACGAACTAATCTCGGCGAAAACGTCTTTCTCCTCCCCTCTGAGTTTTTTTCTTAAGTTGTCTTTTTTTCTAGACTTCAAGGACACACAGCATGGGAATGTGCCTCTTCTTTTTTTTTCCACCCCAGCCCAGAAGCATTTCCCTGTTATGTGGGCGGGCATGGCCGCCTTTCTCCCCAGACTCGTTTGCCCCCAGGAAATAACATGTTCCCCTGGAAATCGGAATCCATG